AACATTGATAATAATCAGAAATGTTTCTTGAGCAGCAAATCAGCATATTAGAATGATTTCTGAAGATCATGTGACACTGAAGACTGGAGTAATGATGCTGAAAATTCAGCTTTAATCACAGAAATAAATTACATTTGAATAGATATTCACACAGAAAACAGCTATTTTAAATTGTAATAATTTTTCACAATTTGACTGTTTTTACTGTATTTTTGATCAAATGAATGCAGCCCTGGTGAGCAGAAGAAACTCCTTTCAAAAACATTTAAAAAAAATCTTACCAACTCCAAACTTATCTCACTGAAAATGAACAGAAATGCACTGTTGTGTTTTCTGCTTGGATGTTACGGTTAGCTTTTTATTATTATTTATACCGTATTGGCCCGAATATAAGACGGCCCTGATTATAAGACGACCCCCCCTTTTTCCAGATGTACCTTTTTGAAAAAGGCTTTTTAAAAACCAAATCTTGTTTTTTCTCAGTAAAACACATTTTGTCTTCAATTATTTTCATATTTCATATTTTTCCTATTTTAATTTTTGTTTTGAAAGTATGGTAAAAACTGGTCAAATGTACCAACAATCACATTTAAAAAATATGCACTTTTTGATATACCATTAAAAAAACAAAACAGGTTGCCCATCTGAATTAGGACATTTAGGCTATCCATCTAATAGTAGCCTACTAAAATCTTATTAACAGTAGAAGTTAAATCTTACTGTAGTCTTCAAATCTGGGTACTGTCTTACGTTTTAAAATCACAAAGGGAGTTTGGTGCCATCAGGCTAACGTGACAGTCACGACTCATGCAGCTGTAAGGTTTTCTGCTTCTTTTGTTTTTACTTGCGATTTTTACAACACGCATTACATTACGTATTTCATGGCACACTCGTTTTATGCGTATTTGGCGCCACCTAGTGTTGTGGGTGTATTATTGACATGTCAAAGTCTAGACCCTGAATATAAGACGACCGCGTTTTTTCAGATGTATTTCCAAAAAAAAACATTGTCTTATATTCGAGTCAATTCGGTAGATCACTCAGCCGTGTGTCTGTGCACTCTTTTCGTAAAGATGAGTGTTTTTGTGTGCTCATGGTATTTATGTCTGTGGGTCTCTCTCAGCGTTCGGGGCCGTGTTACAGGGAAGTCTGTTTGGTTTGGTGGGTTTGTTGCCGCAGAGTTACAGCGCTGTCTTTATGAGCGGACAGGGACTCGCTGGGACATTTGCTGCTCTTGCAATGATCTTCGCCATCGCAAGTGAGACACCCTGTTATTTTACTCTCATTGAGATACTATTATAGTTTTTATTAATATCTTGAATTCGTTTTATTTTCTGTTTTCTTATGTTTAGCATGTGAGGAACCTCTCATGCATTTCTGTGTAGATTTGTTCACGGTGTGTGTGTGTGTGTGTGTGTAACAGGTGAAGCTGATAGTGAGTCTGCAGCTCTGGGTTATTTCATCACTCCGTGTGTCGGGACCCTCGTCACGCTCTTCAGTTACATGCTGCTGCCAAAGCTGGTGAGTGTGTGTGTGTGTTTAGATGTAATCCTGTGCAGTTTCTTATTCAGCTGAATCTGAGACCGATCTCTGGAGTGTGTGTGTGTGTGTGTGTGTGTGTGCAGGAGTTTGCTAGATTTTACCTGGACAGAAAAAGCAAGAGTTACGAGCTTGAGACGTCCAACCGGCTGCTGCCTACAGGTGAAACTTAGTCTATAAACTCACAGATATTGGACTGTCATTTCACTAGAGTTAAAAGCAATATAGCTTGTTCAGTGTTCAATCGCAAGAGAGCACTTCTTTTTAACATGTGAAAAAGAAGTACACTTTAGCATACTTGACATGAACTGAATGTAATGTTTTAAGACACTTAATTGCATGTTAATTGAAATTGAATGACAATGTATTACGATTTAAATGTATATTAAATGCAGTTAGCTGAACTTAAGTGTTTTTTTGACACACTTAAGTACATCTTTATATGCAATTTCGTAATTCTATATTGTCTTCTAAAATATACTTTAATGTCATTATTTTGGAAACCCTTTTGGGACTTTAAAATATTATTTATGTCTGTGGAGGCAAAGTTGAAACTTCATCAAAATAAAAGTTAAAAAGAACAGCGTTTATTCAAAATGGGAATCTTTGGTAAAAACATACTCGACCGTTCAAAAGTTTGTGGTCAGTGCAATTTTTTTTTTAAGCAAGGATGTGTTAAATCGACAAAAAAACGTGATAGTAAAGACTTTATTAGATATTGTTACGAACAATTTATATTTTAAATAAATGTAATTTGTTGTTATTATCATAGAATCCTGAAAAATAAAATGTATCACAGGTTCCAAAAAATATTGGCCAGCACAACATCGGTAATAATCAGAAATGTTTCTTGAGCAGCAAAGCAGCATATTAGAAGGATTTCTGAAGATCATGTGACACTGAAGACTGGAGTAATGATGCTGAAAATTCAGCTTTGATCATAGAAATAAATTACAGTTTAACAGATATTCACGTAGAAAACAGCTGTTTTAAATTGTAAAAATATTTCACAGTTTTACTGTTTTTACTGTATCTTTGATCAAATAAGTGCAGCCTTGGTGAGCAGAAGAGACTTCTAAAAAAATAAAAAATAAAATAAAACCTTACTGATCAACTGATGTTGATGGTATATTAACTTATAAGAATATAAAAATATATATATAATATTGAATAACCAACTACGGTTAAAATTATAATCAAGTACTTTACATGTGCTTTAGTATGTTAGTCAACACATAAAAATAAGTGTACTTTAAAACACAAAAGATTATTAAAACAAAAATTTTTTAAAGTAAAAAACCATTAATTAAACATTATTGCTAAGTGTTTAAAAGTGTACTTAAGTGTGTTAAACAGTCATGAAAATGTCTCTCTTTAAGTCACTTAAGTGTCCTTTTTTATTTCATTATGTTGTATTATATTATCTGCAAGTATGTTTTTTTTGTTTAAATATACTTGTATTATTTGAAGTACACTACAAGTGCACATTCAATACAATTAAGCGCACTTATTTTATTTTACGGTGACTGTTCCTCCAGGTGATGTTGAAGGTTCTGAGAAGACCAGCGATCTGTCTGTTGGCTCTGTGCCGAACGGGAATCCTAATAAAGGTGATAGCGGTGTGAGTGAAGAGGAGGGTGTCAGACAGGCCTTCATCCCGCTGCAGTCAGAAAACACGTCCACGCAGAAGAGCTCCATCCTGGAAGTCTTCAAAAAGGTGCCGTTATATTTTACCAATCAAAGTCAAGTCACCTTTATTTATATAGCGCTTTATACAATACTGGTTGTGTCAAAGCAGCTTTACAGCGTCAAACATAGTGTGGCGATAATGTTGGAGGACAATAGAAATCAGGCATATATTAGCGTAGATGCCATTCTTCTTACAATGTAGCGAGTACATCGGGTGTTATGGGAAGTGTTCCCGGTTCCGGTTGACCTAATTAATGCAGCCTAACAATCCTTTAACGGATTTGAATTATAGAAATGTGATAGTGTGTTATGTGTATGCCAAGTTAAAGAGATGGGTCTTTAATCTAGATTTAAACTGACAAGAGTGTGTCTGCCTCCCGAACAACGCTAGGTAGATTGTTCCGGAGTTTGGGCGCTAAATAGGAAAAGGGTCTGGTGCCCGCATTTTATTTTGATATTCTAAGTATTATTAAATGTGACCCTGGACCACAAAACCAGTCATAAGGGTCAAATTTTTCAAAATTGAGATTTATACATCATCTGAAAGCTGAATAAATAAGCTTTCCATTGATGTATGGTTTGTTTGGATCGAGACAATATTTGGCCGAGATACAACTATGCCAGTGCAGTGTTGACAGAACCGGGCTAATATGGTCATACTTCCTGGTTCTAGTAAGAACTCTAGCTGCTGCATTTTGGACCAGCTGGAGTTTGTTTATTAAGTGTGCAGAACAACCACACTATGTTTGCATTACAATAATCTAACCTTGAAGTCATGAATGCATGAATTAATGTTTCTGCATTTGATATTGAAAGCATAGGTCGTAATTTGGATATATTTTTAAGATGGAAAAATGCGGTTTTACAAATGCTAGAAATGTGGCTTTCAAAGGAAAGATTGCTATCAAATAGCGCACCAAGGTTCCTAACTGATGACGAGGAATTAACAGAGCAGCCATCAAGTATTGGACAGTATTTTAGGTTATTACATGCAAAGGTTTTTGGTCCAATAATTAACACCTCTGTTTTTTCAGAATTTAGCAGTAGGAAATTTCTAGTCATCCAGTTTTTTATATCAGCTATGCATTCTGTTAGTTTTGAGAATTGGTATGTTTCGTCTGGTCGCGAAGAAATTTTAGAGCTGAGTATCATCAGCGTAACAGGGAAAGCTAACACCATTTTTTCTGATAATATCTCCCAAGGGTAACATGTAAAGCGTGAAAAGCAACGGTCCTAGTACTGAGCCTTGCGGTACTCCATACTGCACTGATCGATATGATATCTCGTCATTTACTGCTACGAATTGATGACGGTCAGATAAGTAAGATTTGAACCATGCCAATGCAATTCCACTAATGCCAACAAAGTTTTCTAGTCTATTCAAAAGAGTGTTGTGGTCGACTGTGTCGAACGCAGCGCTAAGATTCAGTAGCACTAATAGAGAGATACAACCTCGATCAGATGATAAGACCAGATAATTTGTAACTGATGAGAGCAGTGTCTGTACTTTGATGCAGTCTAAAACCGTATTACAGCCTGTGGTCTGTTTTGGATGTTATAACAGTGGCTTATTGTTATCGTCTCTCTCTCTCTCTCTCTCTCTAGATTTGGCTTATGGCGTTTTGTGTGACGTTTGTATTCACAGTTACACTGTCAGTTTTTCCTGCGGTTACTGTGGATGTGAAAACTGGGTATGGAGGAAAATGGGGTACGAAACACACACATATTAATTTAAATTGCAATTACAATGACTTCCAATTCATTAAAACCCTAGTCCTAAAAGAAAATATTTTAAATTTACTATCCCTGATCCCACCATAACCATTAATTATACCTAAAATAAATGGTAGATGAATTAGGGTTTTTAAGTTATTGTTTAGCTTTAGTGCTAATAGTTTTTTTTGTGTATAATGTTTTATCTGAGAATGAGAGTTTAAAGCAAGACACAACAGGTGAATTAATAACAGATATCACCATGCTTTTCCCAGTTGATTAATCACAGTGCGTTAAGATAATTGTTTTGTATTACAAGTTTTATGAAGGTTTGTTTAAAAATTAAATTGAAGCATTTTCTAATTAAATATGTACTACTTTGTGTACATTTTAAGAAAAAAAAAATTCTGAACATTGGATGCAGCCAAAATTCTAATTTGATTTTGTTGACATAGAGTTAAAGTTTTGTACAGAGGGCATTTTGTATTTCTCTTTTTATCACAAAAAAACAAAACAAAAAACAAAAACATTTGCACCATGTTCTTAGTAATACAATGTTGTATAAATCAGGTAAACAATATATGAACAAGCCCCTCAGTGTATAGATAGGAATAAAACTGTAATGTTTGGTGTATGTAAGCACTACTGAAGTGGAAATAAAACTCACGGCCTTTAAAGAAATGAATTGAAATCTACAGACGTAAAATATGAAGTGTAATAAAATAAACACTTAAATGTGTATTTTGGATGTTATTAATCTGAAAAAAAAAAGACATGTTATGGAAGCAAACTCTCCAAACTAACTAGTGCATGAAAAAAACAATAGTTTTGCTTGTAGAGTTTAATGCACATCACTGCAAAATTAATCTCACCCTTCTTAGTCGTTATGCTAAATGATTAACAAAACCAGTGCACGTTCATCACTTTCAGAACTGTACTCGCACTGGAGGGAGAGACCACTGCAGTCTGGCAAAAACAAAAAAATAGAGATTGATCGATTAAATAATGTCATGACAGATTTCTACTTAATTTGACTTTTTATAGGTTTTGTAACCTGATCAAATAAATGCTGCCATCTGGTGGATCTCTAAAGAATAGCACTCAAAGTAGCATTTTCAAAACCTTGCACATCACGCTTTGAGCTCTTGCACGATGCTTCACTGTTGTATGTATAAGGATGTGCATCACAGTTTTGTCTCTCTCCCTCTTTCTCTCAGAACAATACTTCATTCCTGTTTTTTGTTTTCTCTTATTTAACGTGATGGACTTTACTGGCAGATCTGTCACATTAGTATTTAAGTGGGTGAGTGAATTATTTTCTCAATTCTTTCATTACTTCATTTATATTTCACCACAAAGAGAACTGCAGATAAAAAATTCACTCAAGCTGTTCACAACCAGTGTGACGTCAATATTTGTTGCTTTCTTAGAAATGTTTTATACCTGAGTGAAAGTTAATGGAACTTTGAGATATAGATATATATATATATATATATATATATATATATTTACTTTAACATAATATATTTTTATAAGAATTTATTTTTTATTTTCAGTAAAGGTTAGACTTTTTATATAAACCAAAAATATCTGTTTTTGATCATTTTTACCAATTCTAGTGTAGGGTGATGTATGCATGTATACATGTACGTATGTATATATGCATGCATGCATGCATGCATGCATATATACATACGTACATGTATACATGCATACATCACCCTACACTAGAATTGGTAAAAATGATCAAAAACAGATATTTTTGGTTTATATAAAAAGTCTAACCTTTACTGAAAATAAAAAATAAATTCTTATAAAAATATATTATGTTAAAGTAAATATATTTATTAAACCCACTACCATTCAAATGTTTCAAACTCTCTTTATAATTTGTTATTTATTTATTTTAAGAAATTAATACTTTTATTAAGCAAGGACACATTAAGTTGATTAAAAGTGACAGGGAAGACACTTATAATGTTCCAAAAGATTTAGATTTCAAATAAATACTTTCTATTTACCAAAGAATCCTCAAAAATGTATCAAGAAATTGTATATTTCTGTAAATATATATTTTTAAGTCACTTGAATATTATATTTCTGTTATTGAATGAAGGAAAAAGAGGATAAACAGGCATTCATGACATTTTTCCACAGCCTGTGAGAAAATGTTTAATTTTTTTTGGGATTGTTTTATGTTGTGGTGATTGTTTCTGTTTGGTGGAGCTTTCATAGAGTATGTAGTAATTTCTTCTGTGTATTCTGTCTCTCCCGCAGCCCTCTAAAGACAGTCGTTTGTTCCCGGGGTTAGTGGTTTGTCGAGTGATCTTCGTTCCGCTGCTCATGATGTGTAACGTGCAGGAGAGACACTACATACCTGTGCTCTTCTCAAACGACTTCATGTTTGCTGCAATCATGGTGTTTTTCTCCGTGTCCAGCGGATACTTTGTGTGTCTGTCCATGACGTACGCGCCACAGTGAGTACACACACTTCACACATTGTGTACAAATGGGCTCACCAAGACTGCATTTATTTGATCAAAAATACAGTAAAAACTGTAATATTGTGAAATATTATTGCAATTTAAAATAACTGTTTTCTATCGTAATTTATTTTCAAATGCAATTTATTCCTGTGATGCAAAGCTGAATTTTCAGCATCATTACTCCAGTCTTCAGTGTCACATG